CCAATAAGGTGGCCGGGTGATGCTGGACTTAGTTATTAGGAAAATTCTATGTAGTTATTGTATATAGTTGCAAGAATATTAATAAAGTACTAGCGTGGCTGCTTAAGAGCAAAAAAAAAAAAAAAAAAAAAAATTACAACTCCTTTTACAAAATTTTTTAAAAAAATATAAGAAATGACCAGAACACCAACAAGCAGCTGTATGAAAAATATTAAAAAATATGATTAATGCTCTCTTAATAGGTTTACAAAATTTTCAAATATCTCATATAAGAGGAACACCTCCTGGTGCTCTTAAGTACCAAACAAATAATTCAACTAAAAGAAATTCTTCTGGATTTGAGTTGGTAAAAAGTAAAGTGCAACAGTGTACTCTTTGTAAGCAGCTTGAACATTGTATCAAAACTTGTTCAAATAAAAGTTTAATTTGTTAGTTAGCAACAATATATTAGGTATACTGTATAATGATCAATTTTTTTAAATAAGTGACTAAATTTATCTTTAGATATAATATAAATCTTAATTTACTTTTTCTTATACAGGTTATTATAATTAAATAAAATAAAGTAATTTAACATCATTATACTATAGTGAATTCTATCTGTTATCCATTACAGGCTAATTAATTAGTTCAAATATCTATTTCTCTAAAGAAATATCACAACAAAAAATCACCTATTACATATCTATCTATGTCCTTATAACTATATCATAATTAGATCAGGAATCATATAGCTATAAAGAGAATTAGTTATATAAAATTGTCTAATAAAATAAATGTAATTCATTACAGTGCATTTACAAAATACCTCAAAATTTGAAAATTTTAACAACTAATATGTAAATATAGATTTTAACTGAGATAATCAATATTATTCAAGTAATGATGCATTATTTTATAAATTTTTATGTCTAATGAAATGCATTAGAAAGTGTGAAAATGGGTTAGCTTGTAAGGAAGATGGGTTAGATGTGTAATCAATACAGATCAGAGATTTAAAAAATTTTTCAGGATTTAACATTGATTGATTAATATATAATTTAATAACTAAAATTTAATTTGGAAAACCAAATACTTGGATTTGGTGATAAATTATTTGCTTAATTTCACAAATGTACTGTAATGTAAGACATAGGTTTAAGCACATGAGTATTATATTAAAAAACTATGTGCACCTTGTATGCTGAACTATTATGAAATTTGAAAATTTCGAATTCTTTATATCCAGTGCTCATTATATAAAAGTTCGTTATATCCAGAGTCGACTGTAACTGGAATACTGGAATCTTTTTGAACTGACTCTAGAGGTTATATTAGACCTTGAGACTTAATCCTAATAAAGCGTAATGAATAATTCTCATGTTTACATAATAGTTTGCATTTGATAAAATTGGTTAGTAATTAATTTTTGAAAAATACTGATGAACATTTCAAATGTTGATAAAAAGGATAGTTTTTAAGAATAACTTCGTTTCTTAGATTTATAAAAAAGTTAGGATCTTGACTTTATGAGACTATAAATTTCTTAGTAGCGGCTTATGTTTATGCTTGAGATGTGCTTGAAATTCTTTGTACATTACCTACATATACGGTTGGGTTTGATTCAACTTGATACAAATGTCGCGTTTTCAAAAATTTTATAAAATCACGAGTTTGATTGGCTAATATAGAAATCGATCACGTTATATTGTAAAAAGTTTTTTTGCATGGGTAGTGTTATTATTGTAAATCGGGAGAGCGGGTATCGTTACACAGTTTAGTTCGTAGTACTGGGTTTAATAATGTAACTACTATTAAAGGGAGTACTATCGGTAGGATTCTATATACTATATTTAGATAGGTCGATAGTAATTGATCGGAAGGGATGATAGTTTACGGGTAATCGAGATTGATTTAATGAAGAGTGGCATGAATCTTAAAGATATTTTTAAGAGCGTGCTATATAATTGACTATAATAAATAATTAATTTAATCACTACGTAATTGATCAGTGCATAATATTCCTATAAGGTCTTTCTTAAGTATATTATTCTTTATGACTATATAAGATACGACTCCTATTTATTCAGGGAAAGGTCTATTCAGCCTCAATGCTTACTTCCTTTATGTTAAATAAGAGACCCAGCGTATACTTATATACAAGAATAATGTAGCGTAATAGAGAAAAGATACTGATTAGACGAAGTTTAGATAAATTAATGTGAGATGTTTTAGAGACGGTATAATATTTTATTTGTCTTTGAGACTTTATTCTTAATTGAATCCGTAACTGGTCCTTTTGGAAAGGCGAAAAGGACCTATATTTATACAACTTTATTCGCGAAGGTTATACTAAGTAATTATATGATAACGGCGCTAATATTGTTATGAACAGTTATTTACTCCTTCGTGAACAGTTGTTACGTCCATCCTATGGTAACACGAAGCCACACTGCTCATATTACTAATCTATGGCTTATTCGTAGCCCCAACTGCTCATTTTAATGTTTATGGATGTAGCTACCACGGTTCTTAAACGTAAACAAGGGCATGAGCAGGACGAATTACAAACAAATAACTATATACAGGTATAACTGAAATAATAAAAAGACTATCCAAATAAATAAATAACTAAGTAAAAAAAATATAAATAAAAATAAGAAAACTCGTGACTTAGAACGGGGTAGAAATCTACAATTCAACAGTAGGGGTACGAATAGCAATAATGGGGGGTACGAATATAGTAGAAATTAGCTTATTGATTAGTATATAAACGAATTAATAAAGAATATACTTGTTCACTATAATAATGTTCAGCACATTAATTTTAAATCTTAAATTTAAATATTTATTTTTTCTTATTTTAGTTTTTTATTCGCATTTTTATCTTTTATTTTTAAAATTAATGGTTTTGATTGGTAATCACATCACTAAAATGATCTGTAGTTTGTGTAAATGGGAATGTTCGCCTCTGTTCCATCAAAATGACGAGTACAGGAAATGTGTACAAGGTTGGCGGCGCAGCTCTCCTGAACTACAATCAAATTTCAAGATTAGGTGTGACGTAACACAACCAGGAAGATTCAAAACAACGTTCGTTCTGCCAAAAATCGCTCATAACTAAAAAATCAGCAAAAGGAATATCCTTTGTGCCCTAACAAAAGTTTTATTTGGACAATTCACTGTATAAACTATTCCTCTCTAGATTCGAACACTGACCCTAACTATACCGAATTTTAAGAAATTTGTCTGCGCCGCCAACTTTGTGCGCATTTTCGGTATGCCAAAACGTCATAGAGACTTTCGTATGATTGAGTGATGTAATTCAATTGCCCTGGTTACTTATTTATGCACTTTAAAGAGCTTTTTGAGAATGCAACTTTTTGCTAACTAACAATTATCATAAAATCACCAAAACGTGCAAAAGAATATCAACATTCATTATGTAAAAACAATCAAGAACTTCACTTATAAGTGAAGTTTTTACTACTCTATTACTATATTAGCTGTATGTAAATGTTAAATATCCGAAATTGTTAAAGAAAAAAAAAACAAAAAATCGAAAGTTTTATGTAATAAAAAACTTTTCCTACTGTTTAGATTTATAAATTTAGTGTTCGTAGTCGACTCTAATTTATCGACTTGACTAAGTCAATATCTGATATGTAAAAATCGGTTTAGCCGAAGCCGACCATTCTAATTGGTTAATCTCAAACATGAGGTTTAAATGGTTAACTATTAGTCATGATAACGACCTCCTTTAATATTTGAAATAATATATCACGAATTTCCCGTTAACTTACTGTTATAAAGTTTAGTTTTCGACACTATTTATACGTTCAAAGAATCGACTAAGTCAATTTTTCAAAAAAATCGACTGACTTAGTCGATTTTATCGGCTAATGCCATATCGACTACAATCACTAGGTAATTGTAAGTTAAAGTAAAAGCATTGAAATTATATATATATGCAACATTTCAGAAAGGTAATAGTTCCATTAAACATTTTTATTTTTTGGGTACCACATTTCAACATACTGTAACATATTTAATATTATCTTGTTATATTTTTATTGCATACTAAGTATTGACAATTTCGGCAGTTTCGTTTTCCGTTACCAAATTTTTTTCTGGCTGTATATTTTCAGGTGATCTATATTTGTTTTAAAAAAAACAAATACAGCATAGACTTTAATAACGCATTAAATTAATTCATTGATGAAATTCTTTTTCAACAAAAAATATCTACCCATTTCTTGGCCGTTCAAAAATATTATTATTTTAATATATCAAAAAGAGGCTTGAGATGATAGGTTGGCCGGGAAATGGATAGATATTTGTTGTCCTGTCCTTATTCCATCTATGCACGTACGAGTTTTTTTTATTGAGTATTGCACTAAAACCAGACCAATTTAGATTTGATTTTCGGGTTAAATAACACCATCAACCTCAAACTTTAAATCATATGAACCATCTACACGGTATTAAATTAACCAATTTTATTGTGTGGTTTTTTTAATACCGTACATCAGTCTTACGAGCCATCTTATGTTAAACAGAAAATCAAAGTTGGTCTGGTCTGATCAATGTCTAACCACTAAAGAATTACGATGGTTCTTCACAATTGTTTCATTACGCACATATATTTTCACATTATCATTATTACCTTCATTAATCAACTTATTCAAAGTTTCTTCAACACTTTGAAGTCGAAATTTCAGATCTTTTAGTAGCATCTGTTAAGCAAATTTGGTTAAAATCTGAATACATGCAAACAAAATCATATAGCACCAATTAAAAGTTCATACTTTAATTGCCATCAATGATTCAATATAATCGACGGTATGGTGTTTTAACTGAACTCTTGATGGCACGTAAATGTTTCGTCTTAACAAACGACGACGACCTAACAAACTTCCTGGGATGTCATAGACAGTTATTTCCAATTGATCGTCTGTTCGTTTTTTTTAGTAAAGTTAGTATGAATTTATTCAATGTACTGTAAAAATAACTGTATTATATATTACCGTATCTTGCAAAATAAAACTCATCTAGGAAACATGACACCTCCATTTAATTTATCCAAGCTTTATTCTGCAAGCTATGGTGCTTAGTCATAAATACATGCCTGAAATCCTTGCGCCAATAATATATAAATTATGAATTTGTTCAAGCAATTCTTTTGTAAGAGATTTTTTGTAATTATCTTCATAGAAACAAAAGATTTCATTCATCTCATCACACTGTTCTTGTAGTTGTTTCTTTTTATCGTTTCCGGAATCTACACCTGGCTTTTTAGATTCAACTACCAAAAACGCAATCAGATTTTGCCCCATTATACGCATACCAACAGCACCATCTATTTTGTGCCCTCTTTTGGACGTATCTATAGTAACATCGTCAGCACTAAAGTTAGCTTCGGGCTGCAATGAGGTGGCATCTATGTCTTCGTCATTCAAACCTTCATGTAACGCTTGTCGACGATTACGAGAGCATGCTGTTTCAAATTCTCCACTATAAAAAAAATAAAATTTTAAATTAAATTATACAATTGTGCAAAAAACCATACCAGAACGTAATAAAATCTATATCCTCCATGCAAAAATTCTTAATAATTGAAGTGAACATATCAACTGTATACGTTGATTCATTGAAATTAAGATGCTGATCATTATATTTATTTTGTTTCCAAATATGGTGCCTATAAATACAGTAGACAAAAAATAAAATAAATAAGAACGAAGCGACAAAAAAAAGATAATAGTCACAAGCCTATAATGGTAATAAAATTTTTTACAAAAATTCTATCGTTCGAATGCATGTCTCCATATCATGGCTAGAGATTGAGTTATCTATTGGTTTTTCCATTTCGTTTCCGTTTAATAAAGATTCAAGGTATTTTCGAGTTTTGTTCTCAAAAACGAATTCTTTAGTATTACTCAAAGTATTCAATAATTTCAGATGGAATATTTTTATTAGCAATTTTGGGGGATTTGCAAAATCCATGATTCCCGATAAAAGGGAGTTGGTTGGGTCTTCATGAACAAGATCGTCAAAATCTTCATAATCGATGATCGTTGCAAATATTTGTTGAATGTTTTGTTCATCAACAATGAATGGAACAAGTTGTTCATTCTCCTTTGATGTATAAAAAGTAAAAAAAATTGAGATTCGTTATCTCCATTTCTTGCCTACGGCGATAATTGCCACAATGTGATTAGCAAAATCAGGTGCAATATAAAGAATTGTGGTATAGACTTTACCCTACCAACATTCTAAAAATTACGCATTTTATTTATTTGTGCTACCTGGCAATATTGCAGTGAAAATCATTGTAGACGATATAAAGTAATTCTATAAAAAATTAAATACCTTCATTTTATTAAACTTATTTTTTAATCTTCGTAAATATTTGTCTTTTCCTGTAGTTAATAAATTTTTTTTTTCTGAAGAACTAAGAGAATTTGCGGCTTTTAATAACGATTCAATTTCTTCATTTGTGGCGCAAAGTGAGAAGGCATGCCGCATGCTTGTAAATGGACAACGATAAAGATCATCTTCTACAAATAACACGAATGATTAAATATTAACAGCTGTATTGTATTATTAAGTAAATTAAATCTTCAATTCATACTTTTTTTACCCTTTACTTTTTTCTGCCATTCGGCTATTGAATAGCGTACCCAAAATAGATTCACCTCTGCTGAATCTTTTTCTTTCTAAAAAGTAACATAATTCTGGTATTAATACATATTAATATCAATATATAAATTTCATTTTTTAGCGTTTCTAGGATATTATGTAGCAAACATCATTCATCTTCAGTTATACAGGATAGGGCAAGAAGTCTAATTAATATATAAAGTGCCAAAAACCTATAAATTGTTAGGTATTTTTTTTTCAGAAATAAATGAATACAATTCACTGTCTAGTACCGTATCTACGATGATATTATAATATTGGTGCAATACACGCCTAGTAATATAAAATTTAACATGCTGAAAATTATAATATCGTTTTTGACTTTCTAAGAACATAGGCGCCCACTATAAATGCATGCTCGCTTACTATTGAGATTATAATATCGTTCTCAATGGCTAAGAATGTTGCCTACCAAAAACATAAGTACCGCCCATATGCTTACTCACCCATTGCAGATATTATAATATCGATCTTGACTTGCTATGACATATGAACCATATGTCATAGCAAGTAAAGATCAATATTATAATATCTATTTCAGTTGGCTCCATGTCTGTTGCCTACTAAAACATGAGTGTACACATGTCTGCTTCCTTACTATAGATATTATAATGCCGATCTTGAGTTGCTAAGACCATAAGCGCCCACATACAGATATTGCTCGCCTACTATTGAGATTATAATACCGATCTCAGTTTGCTAAAAGATGATGCACACCAAGAACTAGGTACCGCACACATATGTCTACACACTTATTTGTGATATAGTTTTACATATTCTTGCTTCCCTATCAAAGATATTACAATGCCGTTCTTGACTTTGCCAAAAACTTAGACATCACATATAAATGTCTGCTAGCCTCTTATAAATATTATAATATTGATTTCAACATGCTAAAATTATAGGCGTTTACAATTTGCACCTGCTACATATATTATAATGTCTAGGTAATCATCATTAATGTTTGATGTTTGCTTTCTTACATAATATCCTCATTTATATCTATTTGGAAACTACACCAGACCTTTAACTGTTCAAGTACGTCTGTCATCATTTTTGCTCTTGATTGATTTCTATAATTTCTTTTCTTTGCGATTTCGTCATAATTAGTGCTCCGAACGGGTCGGTTCGGGTCGGGTTATAGGCCAATCCGAACCCGACCCGAAATTTCGGTTCGGGTCGGGTTAAAAACTTTCGGGTTAGAGCTTCAACCCG